ATCAACATATCTCAATGATGAACCCCAAAACTATGCATAATCAATTTTGATTCAATTAAAAAAATTATTTTTATTTATTTATTATTTTTTTTAAAAAGATGACCCGTAAAGGGATCTTAACCCTTGACTTGGTGTTGTCAGCACCATGCTCTCCCAAGTGAGCTAACCAGCCATCCCTATATAGGGATCCGAACCTGCGGCCTTGGTGTTATCAGCACCACACTCTCCCAAGTGAGCCACGGGCCAGCCCTTTCAGTAAAAAATTTTTTTAAATAGTTAAACTATCATTTACTCTAAAACATGGCAAGTCCACTTCTGTATATTTATCCCAGAAAAATGAAAATATATGAACATAGAAAGCCATATACAAGAATGTTCATAGCAGCTTTATTCATAATAACCAAAAATTGGGCAAGGCCCAGGTGTTCATCAAAAGGAGAATGGATAAACAAACTATACTATATTCACACAATGGAATATTACTCAGTAATTAAGAGGAATGATCAGTGGTAAATGTGCTACTGATATATATAACATGAATAAATCTCAAAAACATGCTGAAAGAAAGAAACCAAGAACAAAAGAGTACCTACATTATATGATTCCATTTATATGCAGTTCTAGAATATGTAACACTGGTCTGCAATGATAAAAATCAGAACAGTGATTGCTTCAGGGAAGGAAAAGGGGGCAGGGTTTTAAAAATAAAGCCTTTATGAGATGATTGAGAAAATGTAAAGAGTGACTAGAACTACTTAGAGACCTAAAGAAACAAAGATGAAATGATATAATGTCTGAGGGATCTGCTTCAAAATAATCTAGAGGGGAAAGGGTTTAGATGAAACAAGATTGGACATGAGTTGATAATTTTAAGAGCTGGTGATGGGTATATGGAAATTTATACTATGTGTGGTAGCTGGTTACAATGGTGGTCCCTGATGAACTTCTAGAATTCAAATCCTTGTGTGGTCCCTTCCCATCTAATATGGGTTGGACCTGTGACTTGCTCACAAAGGCCTGGCAGTTTCCACTTTTGTGCTCCCAAGCCACCAAGTAAAAACTCTAGCCTTCTTGTTGGAAAGACCATGTAAAGAGGCCACATAGAGAGGGAGTGGCCCTAAGACTACCTGGCAAAGAACCAAGGCCACAGGCAGTTAAGTTTCAGCTAACCCCCAATCAATTTGAGCCATCCTAATGAGGTGCTAGAGGTGTGTGAAAAAAGCCTCCTGGACTTCCATCCCAAGCACATCATATGGAACCCAGAGCCACCCTTACTGTACCTAATCTGAATTCCTGACTCTCCTGTGGGAGATAATAGAATGTCTATCACTTTAAGCCATGAAGTTCTGAGGTAGCTGTTACGCAGCAATAGATAACTGAACACCACTCTCCCTAGTGTATGTTTGAAATTTTCTATAATAGAAAGTAAAAAAAAAGAAAGTGACACAGAATTTCTTCAGACTACACAGGCATTTAGAAATTGTTACATCTTTTGTCAGTGACCCCCCCAAAATATCTGTCATAATTTGTAAAACTACACTACCAATAAGCAACACATTTTTATCTGAGCACATACTACGAATATGCCTAGCACATGAGGTATTATGAAATCCAAGAGAGAAATTTCAGTCTACATCTGTATTAAATTCATAATAATCACTCTTAATCTGGCAAGTACCATAAAGACATGTAAATACAACAACTCACACATTAGTTGAAGAGCCCATGTTATTTTTAAAACTGTATTTTGGAATTTTTTTTTTTTTTTTTTTTTTTAATAAGATGACTAGTAAGGGGATCTTTAACCCTTGACTTGGTGTTGTCAGCACCACGCTCTCCCAAGTGAGCTAACCAGTCATCCCTATATAGGGATCTGAACCCATGGCCTCGGTATTATCAGCACTGCACTCTCCCAAGTGAGCTAACCAGTCATCCCTATATAGGGATCTGAACCCATGGCCTCGGTATTATCAGCACTGCACTCTCCCAAGTGAGCTAACCAGTCATCCCTATATAGGGATCTGAACCCATGGCCTCGGTATTATCAGCACTGCACTCTCCCAAGTGAGCTAACCAGTCATCCCTATATAGGGATCTGAACCCATGGCCTCGGTATTATCAGCACTGCACTCTCCCAAGTGAGCCACGGGCCAGCCCTTATTTTGGAATATTAATTACCCCTCACCAACTTTACTGTGAGATAAACAATAAAAATGTTCCATACCATGAAAAAAAAAAAAAAGACATAATGCAGTTTTTACTTAAAGTTGAATCAGTGTTATTCAACTCCTGGACCCAATCTCATCCCTACTGAACTAGAATCTCTAACATAGCAAGGCCTAGAAATCTATATTTATAAGCTTCCAGGTGATTCTTATGCACTAAAGTTTAAGACTCACTGGTATAAAAGGGTGTGGCAGAAAGAGCTGCCTTAACTTGTTCAAGGTTCTGAGAATTACAAGACAAAAATAGGCATAGAACTCAGAAATCTTGATTAATGCACCACCCACCACAGCATGAGTAACTCCCAGAAATACAGCACTGTGAGATGACACAAGTACTGAAAAACATTTAAAGTTATCTGGGGCTTAATATACAAAAAAATCAAGTTTTCAGTGGCTTCATGTGTAGAAAGCCAAAATCTGGTCATCATTCCTGTACAAGGAAAGATCCCCTGGGAATAGGTAAGATTGGCCAAAAAAAGGAAAAGAGTATTAGTAACCCCCCAAAGCTCCCCAAAGTAAATGACAGAACTCTGAAATGTGTTTGTATGGGTGTTGAGTATGTGAGAAAAGGATGATGTAATCAGAATTAAGTGAACTTGGAGTGAAATTTAGTCAGTGCTTTCAGCATTATGCAGATGACATGGTTCCCAGAATAACTTAAGAAAGCTCACGATCAGCTTTCCTACAGTGGATAAGCATGACTATCAACCTACCCAAGCTATACTGAATTATCCCTTAAGGAATTATTTCACAATTTAAATGAACAAATTTGTATTCTGGCTCAAGGCATTCTTGTGTGAATTTGTGAAGAATAAACCAGTTTTCTAAAGATCTGATAACCTTGGTGAAATGAACTCAAAGCCATAGCTAGTTTCACCACATTCTCCCAATCCCTCACTCATTTTGCAATTAACAAAAGGGGAAAAAATGTTTTACTCCAAGTCTTAAAATTAATGAAGACACTGTTGAAAAGACTAAAGGCATTTAGAGAGGGGTAGGGGAAGACTAGCCAGATGGCTCCCAAGAACTCTTACTAAGTAGCTTTTCTTTAATTCATTATGGTCTAGAATCTCTCAGTATTATAGGCCCAGAAAATCATTCTAACAGGACCCCACAAATGATCAGACTCAGAGATACTAATTCACCCTTTCTTAACTTTTAAGAGACTGAAGTCAATACACTACAGTGCTGTGATAGGTAGAATTCTAAAGATGTTCCTCTGTTCTCCCAAGATTCCTGTCCCCCATTTATTCAATCAAACACTAACTAGGTACTTCTATAAAGGGACTTTGCGGATGGAATTAAAGTTAATTATCAGCTGACAAAGTAGGGAGACGATCCTGGAGTATCCAGGTGGACATAATGTAATCACACGAGCCCTTCAAAATAGGAAAGACAAAAGAGTCGGATTCAGTGCAGGAGAGATGAAGCTGGAAAGATCCGAACGATTCCAAGCACTTCATCAGCAACACTCAACGACTACCTGCACTGCTGGCTTTGAAAATGGAGAAAGGGGGCCAGGAGCCAAGGAACGCAGGCAGCCTCTAGAAGCTGAGAACAAGCCCTTGCCAACAGTCAGTAAAGAAACAGTAGAACAGTGAATTCTGCCAACCTGAATGAGCCTGGAAGTGGATTTTCCCCCACGGCCTCCAGATAAGAACCCAAGCCAACCAACATCTTGAATTCAGCCTATGGTACCTGGAGCAAACCAGCTCAGCCTAATGGTCTTCTGACCTCCAGAACTTTGAGATAATAAATTCATGTTATCTTAAGCCATTTAATTTTTGGTAATGTTACAACAGCAATAGCAAAACTAATATAGTGCCAACTGATTAATCTACAATGTAAAACTATTATGTCAAGCCAGCCAGCATTCTTTCCTGTAAGAAAAACTACATGGGAGGCCAAATGTCAAAACTGCCTGGTGAACTAGGAATTTAGTTATATGCTTAGTTTCGTCAGTTATCGGAGCATATTATCTTGACAAAGGTATATATACCTGTCAAGCAGACCAGATATCCACTTTGGCTTATTAAACACCCACTCCCCTGGCCAGGGGTTGGAAGAACTCATTCCTTTACAAATGGCAATACAATCAATCAAATTACAGCCAAGGTGTGCATGTGTGTTTTGTTTTTTGTTTGTTATGGTGGGTAGTTAGTACAGGAAGCAAACCCTGGACCTTGGTTTTATCAGTATCATGCTCTAACCAACTGAGCTAACTGGCCAGCCCTACCGTCAAGTTTTATTCTGGCCTATAAACTAGTCTGCCTCTTCAAAGTGATTTTATGCATTAATTCATTCACTCTGTGTTCATCTTATAACTTACCTCTCAGAGGGTAACTAATTCTCCAACGCAGGGGGATGGAGTGTCAAACAAACTTTACTGTTAGCACACAGTAACAACATATTGGTTATATGTTTATCAGTGAACTTAAAAAGCAGCGTACCTCTTATCATCAAATCAGAGAATCTCAAAGTACTTCCTTTAAATACTTTCTAAAGGTCAAAGGCTCAGATCCCTGAACCAGCCAGCCACCAAAAAAAAAAAAAAAGAAAAAAAACCCTTCTAAATCTGAAACAAATGTGAATACATAAAACTATTTTTGTACTTAAATACCTTAGTATTAGTAGATCTACAAAACCATGAAAAACTTAAAATGATTACCAAATTCAGAAGAGACGAAAAAAGAAAAAAGATACTTGGAGATGAAGAAAAAAAAATTCCCAAATACTTGAAAAATTCATGCAAATTCCCAGCAACTTCATCATTACCATTATTTCATAAGTATGATCACTCTGATGTTTCTTGTATTCAAATCCTCGAGTGAAACACTGCAAAGAAAGAAAAATTAAGTTACCAAAAAGCTACTTTTTAAATGCTTTCTTTAAAGATAGAAGATGGTTTGTGAATACTCTAGTGAAGAGTTCAAGAAGATTCATTTAATCTTGCCTACAACTGCAACAGAATGGTATACTGTATTCATGATCACAGCTTTTCAGTGGCTCTCACAGAATAAATCAGTCTGAAAAAAAATAACTTCTTCCTAGGACAACTCCTCCTTGGATAAGAGCATAAACCCTGCAATCAGACTGCCTAAATTTGAATACTGGCCCCATACTTACCATATTTCAGTATTCTAAAACAAATTTTTTCATATTTTAAAAGTCCGAAATCAGGATTCATCGTATAACTGAAAGTGTATCACAAGTTTCACCAGCCATTTTTACATCTCTGAAACTCGAATGCTGCTATTTTACATTTCTGAAATTGGAATGCTTCTTATAATCAATAGTGTCTTAAATCTAATAAAATGTTATTTGCTGTGTGACCTTGCACAAGTTACTTAATCTCTCTTTACCTAAGTTTCTTCATCTATAAAAGGGGATACTAATCATATTTAATTCATAGAATTGTGATGATTTAAGGGTTAATTCATGTAAAGTATTTAAAATAGTGCCTGGCACAGAGTTAGCACTTGTAATTAGTATTATTACCGCCAACATCACCCACAGAATGGTTTGTCCCATTTTTTGTCACCTGTACAGAGATCATTCATTAATAAGTCAAACAGTGTCATCAAAAGGAATAATCCTCCACTTTTTTCCTATAATCCCAATACTTTAAATCTACTTGCAAAAACAGTGTTAAACATCAGGTTGATACAGATGTAGAACAGTCTGTCTCATCTGCTGTTTCCCAACTTTTCACTGGTAAAATGTGTCATGGATGATTGACAGGAAACTAGATTTAACAAGGTATGATCCTCCTGAGCAATCACAATAATTTCTGAATTACTATATCCATAAAACTAGGCCAGGACAGGCAAGCCTCTCCTTAATGAGTTACCTGCAAGCAAAGAAGAAAAGGAGGTGGGCCACATTCAGCACACTTGATGTAAGGCTCCATGAGGTAGGAGGAGCAGCCTCGGCAAGGGGGTTTATCAGAGGGATCATCTAGAAGAAAAAGAAAACAAATACTCTAGCTTCAAAACACCTTATGATTATCTTAAGTGCAAAAAGGTGAAAATCTGCAAATAACTACATAGGTAGTGAGTGAGCTGTGTTGAAAGGTTCATGGAGAAAAGATGAGCTCATTCCAAATAAGAAAAAGTTATGCTCCTTTTTATTTAAAGGCAGCTTTGTTCCTTCCTACAGTGTACCCACTACTTCACACAGCCTGTAAGTAGATTTGGCCCCTGTAGAGAAATCTACAAACACAAGTTTTAAACTGGAAAATTCAGGGGCCAGCCTGTGGCTCACTTAGGAGTGTGGTGCTGATAACACCAAGGCCGCAGGCCTATATAGGGATGACTGGTTAGCTCACATGGGATAGCATGGTGCTGACAACACCAAGTCAAGGGTTAAGATCCACTTACCAGTCATCTTTTAAAAATAAATAAATAAATAAACTAGAAAATTCATAATACTGGTAAATTACTTTTCCAGGAGGAAAAATGGACACATACCTATGCAACACATATCATATAAAGCAAATCTCACAAAACGTTAATTCCTGAATCTAAGTAGCAGGCATACAGGTAATCACTGTACTGTTCTCTCACCTTTTCTATAAGTTTGAAAATTTTCACAATAAAAAGTTGAGGGGAAAAAAAACTTTAAAAAAATATTTATATATAAATATATAAAATGGGAAACACTACTTTATATACTAGAGTTGGGATTTAAACCAAGGAAAGCTCCCTCCCTTTCTCCTGCAGTAAGCACAGAACATAGCAAACTTTGTTCCAGTTCCAATGATAGATAGCATTGGAAATATTAAGGCAAGGAGTACAATCCAAACTCTTATGTCATAAAAATGCAGATATGTGTCCCCAGTTGCCCCAAAATCTGCCTCTCTACAGGCAGGGCAACCTAGCAAAATTGTTCACTGTGATCAACAGCAGTAGTCTAAAAGAACAAAGGCTTTGAAAATAGATGAAGGGATTTAATTTGTTTAGCCTGAGGCAGGATTCCTCACATTCTGTAATAGCATTTTCCTCAAAGTTCCAGAAACACTCTTCAAGGCACCTTTCTCTCCTCCAAGTGATGATTATTGTTCCTTTCATTTGTTTTAAAATTAAAACAGGGAGGAAAATGACAGAACAAAGAAATGTACTCCTCCTGGGGCTGGCCAGTTAGCTCAGCTGGTTAGAGCACGGTTATAACACCAAGGTCAAGGGTTAGGATCCCCTTACCGGCCAGCCACAACAAAAAC